TTGCCGACTGCCAATCGGGAAGCTCGGCCTCGATCCAATCCGTATCTTCGTTCTGCGTCTTCGGGACAACGAGCATCTTCGTATACTTGGCTCCGTCAGGCTTAGGGATACCAGGCACATATTGCGGCCGGGGAGCGTATGGTGTCCGGGACGGGCGGTTCTCCGCCAAACTTAAGTTCAAAAGTCCGGATGGTGTCGGGCTAGGTGAAGCGACCAATTTCCCCAACCCCACGGCCTCTGGCGTCGGCCGCCATAGTCTCGAGAGACTATTGAGTGTGTAGAGGAAGATGACGAAAAAGACAAGACCAAGGAGGGGAACCGCTCGCCGTGAGGAAGTCATCGAAGAGGATATGGAATACTATACAGATTGAAGGGAAAAGCATAAATAGGCTGTCACAGCCATCTCAAGTACATCCATTAGCCTCAGTTCCCGAAGCGTACTCGCGATTAAGGTAGGGGACAGCAAAAGCTCAAGAGAACCCTTGCAGATGCCCCTGAAGATGCCCCTGAAGATGTATAAGGGGCGCCATAGGGAAAATACACAACTCACCGGCCAGTTCAAGACAACGCGCAGATCCTGGGCTCACACATAAGACTCTGATAACCAGCTATGAGGAGAATAACCGGCTCGAGAAGCGAAAAGCAGAGCCGCTCTGCGACCTCAGCGGCGCGAAGACGTAGATAAGACTCCAGTAGCCAGTAGCCACAAGCTGGCATACAGAACGCCTCAGAGCAGCGACCAGGGAGAAATTCGACTGGAAGATATTGGCTTGGTCGCAAAAGAATAATCCAGAGCTGAATAGAAATGACAGTCTATTCCAGATACGTGTTCACTCAGACCAAAATGCAGAAGGTTAGCGCATTATTCTCCAACGGGGCGGACGGAGGTGGAGCCCGCGTAATGAGTGGTGGTGACACAGAAATGGTGTCCCAATTCCCAAAGATACTCGTGCAATCACAATGTTAGGCATTGTTGCAATGGGTAGAAGTTTATTTTTCTTGTATCACCTTATCACTGCTAGGACAGACCATAGATACTCTATATGAAGGTGATTACTGTAGCATCCGATCTCCAAGTTCCTTCCACGGTCCCAAATTCGCCAGAAGGTAAAACACGGGACAGGGGCGAGGTTAATTTAGCTTGAGAGCCTTATTGGAGCAGCAAACCGATCTGCCCCTGATCTGCAGTCCATCATTGACTGCGGAATGGAATGGTGGATGCCATTCTTATTAGGGTATCCCCAAAATATCGAGTCTAGATACTCCGTACGCTTTTATTGTGCCTAAACAGGGGCTGAAATCAAGATCGATAAGCCCAAATCAATGATCGAGTCTATTTCGAGCATTGCAATGCTTTTGAGGTAATCTCACGTAGCGTATAGAACTTCCATCTCCAGAGGTGTCACACTTCCGTATACAAAGGTGCGACACTTGGGACGATCAGATCAACGTTTCGGTATGTAGAAGGTAAGGGTATGTACAAAGACAGGACGAGTTCTGCAGAGTTTCATGACGGAGGCTCAGAAACGGAGATAAGATCACCAGAAAAGGTAGTGGAGAGAGAAAGTATCATGTTCTTAGTACATGAAAAGCGCTGCGATATGATGGTATATACTCACAACAAACCCGGGTATGATTCGGAATCGCTCAAGAACGCCATAAAACAAAATTACAGAGGAATATGCACCATGAAGACATATCAAGACAGTTAGTGGGGCAGGCAGTCAGGGTTTTAAGCCTCCTCGTCCGCAGCATCCTCAACTGTCACCACCCGGGCCTTGCCCTTCGACGAAGATTCTGCTGATTCGTCCGCATTTGTGGCTTCATTATCCCAAGCGGACGATTCCTTCTTTTCTGACGATTCCCCGAAGACATCTTTGCCCGAATCCTGAGATGATGATCCGGTATACGAATGCGTTGCTGTCGTGGGCGTTTCCAAGCCCCAGTCAGGCAGCGAGGGAGTAGTGGATCTGGCTGCATCGACTGGACCCGAGATTTCCCCATTCATATTCGCTGCCGGCGCCGGGTTCTCAGTGGCAGGAGGATCCTCACGCACTTGCACCGTGGTGGTAGGTTCTGGGGCAGTTGTAGGAATCGGACTCGAGATACCGCTTGGACCCCGTCCCTCCGATTGAAGGGGAAGGAGAGTCCAGCCTTCTGGGAGGCTAAGGCCCTCTGGGAGTCGAGAATCGCCGGACGGAATGGCCGAGGCTTGAGGATCCGAGGTGAATTGCCGACGTAATGTTGCCGACAAAGATGAAGAGGATTGGAAAGTAGATGCTGGGGATATGGTAGTGTTCGGATCGCTGGAAGCTGCAGGCGGATCCCGAAGTCTTTGGAGCTCAGCCTGGAGCAGTCGCACATGATGCAACTGTTCGGCGGTAACACGGAGGTTGTTAATTTCCTGCATTATCTGCAGCTCCATTTGGTGAAGCTGATTCTGCATCTGCACAAAGTTGGACGATGTATTTGTCGGAAGAGCTTGGGGCACTGGTGCTGGGACTGGTCGTCCAAAACCGAGCCCAAAACCGATCTGCCTTGCACCGGGCGGGTTTGCATTATTCGCTTGTTGCGCCGGGGCATTGCCCTGATGAACTTGTTGGTGAAAATTGCGGAAGAGATCACCCCGACCAGCCCCAAAACCAATCCGGAATGGTCCAAACTGGAATATACGGGCTCTTGGTAGGTTATCAGCCGGTCCGTTCTGACCAAAAGGCTGATTGCCAGCTGGCATATTTGGTTGCGGACCGGCGCCGCCGTTGCCTTGACCACGATTGACATCCCCGAGAGGGTGATCGCGGTCACGCGGAGGCGCCATGACGGGGCGTCGGCAGGTGGGACAATTTTGTTGTCTTTCTAACCAACTCCGAAGGCAAGAAAAGTGTAAGATGTGGCCGCACGGAAGTTTCTTTGGACGTAACCTTTCGGGAATTCGAGCCCTTGGCTGAGCAGGCGCTGCCCCGCCCTCACCCGCGCCCGTAGGCTCCTGCCAATGAGCCATCTCTTCACGACAGATGATACAAACATCTTCTCTTGCTACCTCCTCAGGAGTGGCGTCTGGGTAGCGCTCGTTCATGTCCCGGGTCGCATTGCGGTAGCGGACAAAATCCATTATCCGTCGGCCGAAAGAACGGATAGTGACGACCACATCGCGAAGAATATGGATAGGCAGGCCGTAGAACATGAAAAGGATGGCGAAGAAACTCAAGTAGACCGTCAACTTGAAGAAATCGGTGAGTAAATCGAGGTAAAAGATCCAACGACCCTTCTCCTCCCATCCTGGAACGTCAAGTTCCATCTCGTCGATATCATTCTCGTCGGGAAGATCGGCAGCTGGAGGCGTCTCTCCGGTTTGGGCATTTTGGCGTATGGCTTCTTCTCTGGCGGCACGAAGTTCCCGGCGGCGCTCTTCAACCTTGGCCTTTATCTGCTGCCGTGTTATGTATAGCTCAACTAGTGAGATGGTGTACCTGGCGGCGGTTGAGCTCGAAAGGATAGTGAGGACCGCAAACTCAAACCCGAACATAACCATCATATCCGGCCGCGCTTGTTCAAGAACGGTCGTTATGCAATATTTCAGCATGAATGAATCGAACAGAACTGCCAGTATGAGGGAAACCGCCAGGCGGGTGTGAAACAAGCGCGGATTGGCCGGGGGTTGCTGCTCCAGGAACTCGACGCGGCCTTCACCAATCCAGCCCCAGACCTTTCCAACCAGTAGACAAATAAACATGACCAAGAACCATCCGCCAAGTTCCCCTCGGAATATCGTCATTGCCAAGCATGTTTCTGTGACCGCAAACCATGCCTTTTCGTAAAGCTGTTCGGTTTCAATTGGCCGCAAGGGTCCGTATAGGAGACGTTGAAGCCAGAACAACAGGAACCCGACGACGAGAAGACACAAATTTGTAAGTATCTGCGGCAAGTCAGTATTCTTCGTTATTTCGCCAGCCTCGAACGACCATTGGGAGACTCACCATGAGATTCGCACTGCTCTGAGAAAGATATACGCAAGCAGCGTAAAAATTAGCTCTCTGATGAAGCGCCTTCAGAACAACGGCCGTAGCCAGAGCCGCAGAGGCCTATAGAAGATGTTGGTCAGCCTGTTGTCGAGTCCAAGCCTCCTCCGCCTCGTGCGAGCAGCTTACCCCAGCATAAGCGGCTAGTCTCATGGCCACAAACTAAAGGAGGCGAGTTGGGAGCCCTATGTCATTGATATAGACACAGAATGGGATGCAGCTTAAGTTTATGCTAAGGTCAATAATGCATTAGAAAGTCTGTTGATGTACAGCGTCCCTAGCGAGTGAGAGATTAGAAATGTGGCCGGAGATGGATCGCGTGTACGGAGGTTTTGGACAGCTATACCTGTAGACTAAAGGTACAACTCGTGGGGAACAATTCGGCCCACCGCCCGAGCTCCTTGCCTTACGTCAGCGGATCATCAGCTTATCAGCTATAACCCAGGAGTCAAGACTCCCGTCGATATTCCCGAGTATATCCTTTGTTTTTGTGATTGAGAGGACTGTCAGAAATTAGATGGCGAATTAGACTTTGATGTTGGCGGCTTTTGGTGGATTTTAATTGCTTCGAATGGCCATCGATTGCAATGCAGCCCTGCACTGAAATACTGCGGAATATAAACAAACAGGCAGAAGCTGATAGAACTGCTGTTTCACTTCGAAGATTCCGTAGTATGTTCTCCCCTCGTCTAAAATTGATTTGCATTAAGTTCCTGGATTTTCAGATCGAATATCCAATGCGAGTCGTCGATCTGGGAATGGAAATTCAGATCATGTGACCTAGATGTCAGCACAAGTGATGGCATGCATCAGCCATAATCATCATCTTCAGCTCAATCCCCATCGAATCATTCTCATTGCCTCGCTTGGATTCTGATGCAGAATCTCTCTAGAGCAGAGTCGGATATAAAGAGGAGTCGAAAGGTCTCCGCAGACTTACCAAGCACATCGGTCAGACTATGATTTGGGTGATGTGATGTGATGGCGTCACAACCAGCTCTATTTACAGCTACCCGCACTCAGACACTCACATATCTGCTTGCCGTCTGTCCATTCTCCATTGCCTTTTTGGTCTTCGTCAATTCATCTGTTTCGTTCGTTGTCACTGAATTGATTGGACTACACGATGGTGAAGGAGACGCTGTTGGCACCTTAGGATTCGCTGATGAACTCCTCGCGCTGGCCGCGTGCCCTTTATGGGGAGTGCTTTCTGATCGTGTAGGCGTCCGCAATGTATGTTCCGACAATCTTATCTACAAATGTATTTTTATTATCACTGACATGCTCTCAACAAAGGTTTGCGTCATCGGCTACGGCATCATAGCCGTATCGCTGGTCGTGTTCGTGCAATCAAGAAATGTCTACCCTCAGCTGCTACTGGGAAGGTTATTCTTCAGCCTTGGAGGCTCTGCAGTCTCGACCATGGTGACAGCGGTCTTACCTGCCGTGGCCGGACGGACTTCAAGCGAGCATCTGCGTCTCAGGGAAGAATCCCAGACTGAGGCGAAGTCTCCTTCCTCTAGGCTAGCCGGATTTGTGGGCATGTGCGCTGGCGGCGGCGCCCTCATAGCTCTGGCCATTTTTCTTCCTCTACCCGCTCGTTTTCAGAGCTGGGGTTACTCTCCCCCGGAAGCCATCCAGTACAGTTACTACTTGGTTGCTTCGGTGGCGCTTCTGGTCAGCTTCTGCTGCCTGATAGGTCTCAGGGGTCTTGCAAGCGAAGAAGAAAAGGGATGGTACTTATTGTGGGCCTCCCCCAAGACATCTGTGTCCGAGATCGACCGGCTAGACTTGAGCAAAGGAGTGATACAATTAACGTACCTCGATCAACTTGGTACAGCACTTTACTTAGGGCTACGAAACCGGGACATATTCCTCGGTTATCTGGGAGGTCTTGTTGCACGCGCCTCATCTGTTGGCATTTCATTGTTTATTCCCCTTTTTGTCAACCACTACTATCGGCGATCTGGCCTATGTGGTCATGAGCAGGGCGAGGTGCTAGAATCGATACCGAGAGATATCAAACAAACATGCCGCAAAGCCTACATCTTGGCTTCCATCTTGACCGGCGTCTCTCAGCTAGTTGCTCTGATCGCGGCACCGGCGTTTGGGTATCTGCCAGAACGATCGCGACGGTACCATGCACCGCTTCTGTTCGCATCTTTGGCTGGTATTCTTGGCTATACTGTGTTTGCGCTGTTGCCTAGTCCTCAATATAGCGGATCGGACGGCAGTGCAGGTGTCTTCGTTCTAATGGGTCTGATCGGTATCAGCCAGATCGGGGCCATTGTCTGCAGCCTGGCGGTCTTGAGCAATGGTATCCTCAGTATCAGTCTTGATTCTGACGGCTCAGAGATATTTCACACAGAAGAGGGTCCCGTTAGTACTGCGACTAACCAGGGAAACCAAGACGTCGACGAGCATCAGCCCTTGCTGCAGAGATCTACGCGTCACAGGGGTCACCAGTTGTCCCACCTGAAGGGATCAATTGCTGGTGTTTATTCCCTGTATGGAGGGGCGGGAATATTGTTTCTAACCAAGCTTGGAGGTCTACTGTTCGATGATCTGTCTCCAGGAAGTCCGTTCTATATAATGGCCGGCTTCAATGCTGTACTGCTTCTTGCAGGGATCGCCACTGGCGCAATGAGCTATTCGAAAAAGTCTGCCCGCCGTGCTGAGGCTTAGCTCTTTACAAATCAGCACCTGAATATGTATACAAGCCACCAAAGGACCTCGAGTCTTTCTCCCTCCGCGGGAGCTCCAACTAAGGTAACTTTGTCCATGGAATCAGATCAACTTCAAGATGAATTAGTTAGGTTGTATCCTACCTACAACGAATAGAAAAAAAAAAAAACATACAACAGCCGGGATTCGCTGGTGGTCACCCACCCAACTACTAACCGGCCGGCGTGTGGCTTAAGTACGGCTGAGCGGACGGGAAGCCCTGTTTTCCACACCCTATGGTCGTATGTAGCAGTTAAGGAGATGACAGTAGTTCATATGGAGATTCATGTACGCAATAAACCCCAGGATTTACATCTCGAACAGCTTTGGGACCGAAACTGCAGTTTTGTCGTCAACCGCGGCATATCAATTTAGCCAGCACTACCTGATGGGCCGACAGTGCGTTTATCTCACGGGAGATTTGCAAGACGAAGAATTGTTACGATTTGATGGCTGTATTTCTCAATCATTGCCCGCTTATTACTTGACGCAATGGACTTCGCATAACATAAAGACAGCGACCAAGAGCTACGCTCTCATTGTTGCCCAAATATCAGAGGAATCTTCCATAGAGATAGCTTACCCTAGATGTATTCTTCACCCACAGACGCTTTACCCAAAAAAGGCAAAGTCAATAACCGAGCCGCATTTTCAATTCTTCAGCTAGTCCTGGAAAGGTCTAGCTGCCGCATCGGTATTTCCCACCAATGGTGTTAGTGCACAATCAACCAATCAGGATTTGCAAAACTAACTCTGGGACTCCTCCATGAATCATGTCCCTGAATTAACCACCAATCTCGCCTTGTGCCGCTGAACTCGACTCCGCCTCTGAAAGTCTGGGCCTGGAATAGACTTGAGCTAAAAGCTTGTCAGCATGGGAAACTGTTTCATTTGAGTTGGATGCATTATTATTAGTGAGCAAGTTAGCAGCCTGCCAACCGCTAATGGCTGACTCGTAAGATGAGCATTATTTATCAGGGGCATGATGCCCCCCCAGAGGCGAACATTCTTGAGTCCCTGTCCATCGTGATTTTTTGTTCTCATCTTTTGAACATTCGTTGAATTGTCCTTGCGGCGACCCGTCACTCGTTTACGCCTGTACGACCAAAGATACCTGAATCATTATATTTCTGACAACTACCTTTTTCGTCGTTCTCTTTCCGACGCCCTCCATCTATCCAAATCCAGACTTTGTTCCATATAACCACTTTCATTGAGATTCCACAAGATGCGTTCGAACACCATCCGCGCTCTTACGCTTCTGACAGCCACCGCGGCCACAGTCGCTGCTGAGAGCACCGTGTCGCTGTTCATGCCCTACGCTGATCCCCAGAGTCTTGTGGCGGAAGTCGTCGGCAGTGTACGTTTGTCGGACATCATCACTGCTCAATATTCTGCAAGATCATCTATTCTGACGTGAGAACCTAGAGCGGCTCTGCAACCACCTACGTCGTCAACTGCGCCTCTGCCGGGGATGACTGCGGTATGCCCTCAAGCGGTTTCACAATTGTCCAAGGCGCCTCGACGGTGCAGCAGACGTATTCTTACGACGACTAGTATGTCGCCCTTGTGGTGAAAAGCAAATGGAACCACGCCGCTGACATCCTCAACAGCTACGCCGCATACGCGTGCAATCTCGACGGCACCACCTCCATCTCCTGCCTCATATCGGAGATGGACAGCACCACAACCCGTGTAACTGCGACCGCCATGACCACAGACATGGGCTCTTTCTTTCTGCCCGTTGTGGTGACCGGCACTGCCACCGCCGGTGCCCATGCCACTACCGGAGCATCCGTCACAGGGAGCACGGCTTCGGCGACTGGAAAGACTACTACCCTGGCCACGTCGGGCCCGTCTGCGACGAGCGGCGCCCAGGCCACTGGCTCCTCGGCTTCGGCTTCGGCTTCGGCCTCGGCGTCCCACAGCTCTAGCGGAAACGCTGCCGTGCCTCAGATTACTGGGAATGTCAACTGGGCTGTTGGGGGCGCTGCTATGGCAATGGCTCTGGCCCTGGCTTAATGGCTTGATGAATTCTGTAAAGTTATTTGCTTGGAAACGCGATCTGCTGTACAAAACTATCAAATCGTTATACATGAAAATTGAATAATGCTACTTCATCCCAGCTTAGTTCCGAGGGACGGCCGCACAGGCAAATTGGCCGCCTTGTACAGGGAATCAATTGACTCCATCTGCCAGATACTCTCCTCCCCGCTCACCCAATACGCCGGCGTCTTCCCTTTCACCGCATCCACAAACGCCTCCAGCTGCCACCGATACGTACTCCAGTGCGGATTCCCGCCCTTCGCCCCCGTGCTCGTCACCACGTTGCCCCACAAGGGACCTCCAGAGTACTGCTTCTTATAGCTCACCTTGCCCGTCGACTTGTCCGTGATGGAGATGTAATGGTACAGATGCGGCATCATGGCGTTATAGAAGTAGACAATCGCCTTCTCCGTCTCGACCTCGATGGACGGCAACTCCCAGACCCGCGGAATCACGCCCGCGACTTTCTCGCGCGCCATGTCCGTGTACACGCGGCTGTGCACGGGGTTGCCGTCCGGGCCCTGGAAGTCAATGTGCGCGTACATGGCCGCGTCAACGCGCGGGTCATCCTGGGACGGCCGCACGCTGACGGAGATGATCTCCTGCGGGAGCTGCGCATGCAGCGCAAAGCGCGTAAACGAGAGCGCATAGGTCATATCCATTGCCGAGCCGCCTATACCTCGTCAAAAACCACTTGCCCTGCACAAGGGGACATCAAAACTGAAAACTCACCCGCCAGGTCAAACTTCCACCGGATATCGCCCCAGGGGACACCAGGACTAGCCGTCATAGCGGCCTTTGTGCAAATTATCTTCCCGTATTGTCTCGAATCCAGGATCTGGCGCCATGCATGCGCAGCCGGATGGAACTGCCAATGGAACTTACATCCTGTCAACCCTTGCCCTGCGCCAAATCCAAAGACAGTGGGAAAAAAAGGAAAAGAGACAAAACTTACAGCCTCCTCAACAATCAGCCCCTTCTCCCTCCCCAGCTCAACCAACCTCTTCGCCTCGTCCGCATTAGACGTAAACGGTTTCTCGCAGAGCACATGCTTCCCGGCCTTGAGCGCCTTCGCCGCCCACTCGTAGTGCAGCCCGTTCGGCGTGGAAATGTACACAATATCGACGTCCGGATCGTCCAGGAGATCCTGATACGAGCCGTAGGCTTTGGTGAAATGGTACTTTTTCTGGTGCTTTTGGGCTGTCGAGAGGTCGCGCGAGGCGATGCCGTGGAGGATGACTGACGGGTGGGATTCGGCGGGGTGGATGACTAGGAGGGTTCGGTTAGTATTTTGGCGTGGCGTTATAAAGAAGCAAAGTAAACTTACTGGCTGCAGGGTTGATTTGGGCGGTTGAGATGACGCCGAGTTTCAATGCGTCGGGGGTTTTACTGGGGGTGCTGTGAAGCCACGAGTAGACGTATTGGTGTAAGAATGTAGCGGCTTGGTCGACGAGCGCCATGATCACAACAAATGCAATGACGATTGTTTGAAGCTGAGAATTGGTCGGATTCGTTTGGTTACTGTAAGCTTGAGATCATTTATATTGGCATTGCACTTGGTGGTGTGAGGTCTTGCAACGGGGCTATGACGTTATACCTTCATCAGCTTCCCTCACACCTGATATTGACAAGCGGATACCCCTCTAATGTATTCGAATAATTATTCTGTCATAGGCCTAATCAAATGGTTTAGGTCATATGCACAGAACATTGCAGAGAAGGATGCTCAATTCATAAACCATAAAATACGGTCTTCTTTCTCCGAATGTCTCGTAGGTCATCACCGAGAGTACTTGCCCCCTAGCCCAGCCAATCCCTTTCCAACGCCTCGATCCTCTGGCCGGAGCTTTCTCTCTTCTCCCGGTGCCCGCACCTCTAGCCCTGCACGAAGGATGTTAGTCCGCAACAGCCGGAGATGTGCCTCTTTTCTGAAGTTGACAAGGCTCTCCAGTGCTGCTCGCTGCACGTCCGTCCGTAGATCGGTCTGCTTAGATACAAGCACGCCCTTCTCCAAGTCAATCCGAGCATCCAGCGTCCCATCCTGGATCAGGCTGATCAGCTCTTGCACGAACGGCGAGTTGAAGTCGGTCGGATGCGCTTGGCCGCCAGCGACCCCTGGAGCAAAGATCTTCAACATGGAATCAAGCGTCACGCGGCTGAAAGGAACGAGGTATTGCTGGATAGCCTTGGTGCGGATGCGGGTGAAAAGGGTGCTGACATGACGTTGAAGGTGGATGTCAAGTAGATAATCGGCTTTGTAGGACTCAAGGATCTCCAAACAAGGTCGGAACTTTGAATTGCAGAAAAAGGAGATCGCCCGGCGAATATGCGGTTCTAGTTCGAGGAAATTGCGGAACGAGTTGTTGTCGAGGACGCGGCGCTGGAGCTCGTTACGATCCATCGACGCAAGAGCACAGAGCCCACCATAGACCGCCACGTCGTTCGATGTGACGACTTCGTTGTAAGAATCCCCAAGCGATGGATCAGTGGTCAAGAAACTGTTCGCAGCATCCAAGTACGATCCGGAGTGCAGCTGGGACAAGCCCAAGGCGGATGACATCTTAGGTTGATTCTTCGCCTGATCTTCCGGTTTCGACTGGAGGTTGCGCAGCCGGTGCACGTTGGATTGTACACTCAACCAGTCTCCCCGCTCGATCGCCACATTGATAATCTTGAACAACATAGACGCGATGTGGCTGGGTGTTGTGCAGTAGTCCCTCATGCGGGAGTAGGCCTTGGAAGCGGCCAGCAGGTTGCCGATCTGATGGTAGTGTAGTCCGAGATCTTCGTTGCCCATCTGCGAACATGTCAGTATGCATCGCCGCTGATTCCAGCAATATTCCAAACTTACCCGTATGCTCTCCTTGATCAGATTGTTCTTATAGCCCCTCAGCTCGTGCTCTAACCGGTCTGTCTCAGACTTCACAACTCTCTGCATATGGTCCACCCATTTCGTGTCCTCAATGGCTTCAGGTTCATTCGGAGAGACTTCCGCCAGTGCGCGTACAGCCTGTTGGTACCTGACCACATCTTTTCCCGACTTCGCTTCAGCAATCGCAGCCTTGAGCGCTTCCGTAGAGAGATACGTGGAGCAAGTGCCTATGAGGTACAAGCGGTTGAATTTGGTCCGTCCTGTTGTGCGAGTATCAATTAGTTGCGGCCGTCAGAGCTTTGTGCGCATACCATGTTTTCCTACTAACCGTTGTAGTTCGCAATGTAAGACTCGAGTTCGAATTTAGGTGGATCTTCAATGCACATTAGCCATTGACCGTTAATCTCCCCGCTCGTATAGCCGGGGACAACTCACCATCAACCTTTACAAAAGGCGCTGATGCTATCATGTTCCCATTTGTACCCTCTGGATCAACCATCCCTGCACTAGAGGCCTGTCCCGCGTATAAACCAGGTTGAGGTGCATCGAAAGCATCTGGGAGTGTTGAGTCCATGGCGTCGTCGTGGTGCACGTGCAACGCCTGCGTCGACGGCACGGTAGGTCTTTTGGGTCAGATTTAATTTGGACACAATAGTATAGGGAGAATCTTCAAGTGGGGTTCTGATATGCAGAAAAGAAGCACAATGCAGAATTCCCAAAGCTGATCTCAGAGATCCTTGATAGGGCGATGCGGAGAACAGTGTACTGGACAATGGGCGGAGAGCTAGTGACAGCAGTAAAGTAACGGAAGTAACCAGTAGGAATGATTTTTTGACAAGTACTTTTGAACCCACAGCTTCGTTCTATAGACGATGGCTCTCAACTCGTAATAGATATGAGATTGCAACTCTAGAGGCACTAAGGATGGAGTATCGAAGTCATCATCACCGTCATTATTTGGCATTCTAATCTCCAAGGCACCGTCGTCGAGGATTGACCGCCAAATTCACCGCCTCCATTCTTCTCCCGACAAAACAATAATAATTTTGATCTCTTTGTACCGTTGAACGGCAATCAGACCATCTCCAGTGCAAGTATAGGAAAGCAAGTGCTCAGTTCATCAGATAATGTCAAAGATCCCGTCACCATGATCTCCGACTACAGCTCCTGTCATCACGGTATCAACCTGCGCTGTCGAATCCCAGTGTGAAACATATTCTCTCTCCGGGTGGTCCATGGAGGCAATTTCAGCCAAGATATTTTCATTGACTGGCCCCCGGTTGTTCGAGTTTGCAGGCAGCCTAGTTTCGTTACCGAGTCTCAGGGGAAGACCATCTGATGCCGCCTGAGAACGGCCGGCCGGCTCAGACCTGAAGGAGTGATCGCCGCTATGAACTTCAATATCAGTTTATGCAATAAGCATAGGAACGAAGCGTCAAGCCGACCTTGGGTTTGTGCTATTTCGCAGTGAGCTTCAGGCTTACGCGAGTGAACAGGACTACTTGATATTACTTACTGATTCTCGTCTGCAATGGTCGAGTCGCTTGTTGACGAGCTGTGGGGAAAGTCAGCATTAACGACGATCCTACCGGGGTCTTCCCTCACTAGGTAGAATAAAGGACTGAGGATGAGGATGAGCTAGGATAACTGTCAACATTGAGCCTGGCACATCCGTTGAAATACGATACATACCCAACCGTTATGACGGATGCGTTTCCCGCCATACTGATTGCACTTTTTCTTTTGTCATCTATAGATCCGTAGACATGCGAAATGAGGTGCTTACCGTGTATTCGGCGGGGGAGGCGGCGGTGGCATAGACTGGACAGCTGCATAGTTGCCACGGCTGGCATGATTGTACTAGCGTGTATGTCAGTCCTATTTCTGTGATATAGTTGCACGTCCACATCTACCGTGTTGCCCTCCCTTCTAGTAATTCGCTCTCTCATGCGACGGCTGGCATTCAACCATCTTCTCCGACGGCGCCAATCTGGTCTATTGTTTGTATTTTCCGATGGCGTCGAGATTCTCTCCGTTTCGTTGGGAAGTTGCAGCATCATCGACACGTGGCCCTGCATCAAACGTCAGTCTACGGTATAATGATGATGAGTTCAATCGTCAAGGCACATACGAGGAACATCAAACCCTCTCTTAGAGGGCATCTGATCAGGGGATGACCTCTCTGCAAGCAGAGTTGACAAAACGGACCCTGCTGCTCATCAGCAATCACCTCACCGTTGAGCCTATTCAATAGCATTCGAGAGGTGCTGGCTCATGCATACCCTAGGCATTCTGTCAGTACGACCTCGTCTACGTACGTTGCGATGACAATTCAAGAAGAAGGATGATCTGAGTCGAAAGAGAGAAGCAGGTCGCTGAGACGGCTTGACTGCGGGTACACATGCTCTTCCAGGCAGAACTGAATCCAACCGAGAGATTACTGCTGAGAGATGAACGTGACGGGCAGCGAGATGCACAGGAAAGAGTCTCCCGGAGGAAGGAACGGGGTAGAAAGACGAGACGGAGCAGGAAAGACTCATCAAACAGGGGAGTCTTGAAAGAGTGTACCAGCCAAATCCGAGATGAACAGCCAGTCCCAGCACTGACTGTGAGAACCAGTACCTAGGTACCTTATTTATCTCCCAGGTGCCCATATCCTATCCGTCACTGTTCGTTTCTTTACTGTTATGCATGCCGTTCGATCCGGGTCAAGGTGTTGTAAGGCAAGACGGACGTACCTTCCACATCAGCTGGAGTAAATGCTCATCTCGTAGTTCCGTCGCTGTGTTTGATAGCTAATGCCGCTACAACCAGTCATACTCTTAGTTATTAAGAAGACGTATCTGCAACAGATCCAGAGAAGCACCGTGATTATGATTATTCAGATAGGCATAGGTCGTGAAAGTTGATCAACATGTCACAGAACAAAATAAGGCGTCCGCAAAGTCTTGAAAAGAATAAGCTGGGAATGCCAGTAGCGGGGACTCCATGCTATATGCAAAGGAAAACAGAAACAGAGACATAAAATGACGCTCATGTGTCTTCGAATGACATCAATAAGAAGAAATTACAATCCAGAAAACTATCCCGAGCTGTATCAATCTACAGCCCACAGTCTAGTGGGGGTTCAGCGCAAGCTGTTTACAGCAGCACTGCGAATCCAGCAATGAAACCACCCACCACAACACACAGACCATACACATGGCCGATGCCAACGGACGAGACCCTGACTGCCGCGTTCTTGCTCGTGGCCTCTCCTGTGAATGCGGCCAAAGTCGTGGTCGTAGCAGCATTGTTAGTAGGGTTCGATGTGGCACTGCTGGTCGTAGTGACATTGTGGCGCGTGGGATTTTGAGCTCCACAAGGGTGATCAGAGCGACAAGCAGACTGACAGGCTGAGTTGGAGCTGTCGCATCGATCAACACACTCGTTGTTTTCCTCGGTGCAGAGGTAGTAGGGAATGGTCTGAGAGTATTCGGAAGTGTTTGGAGAGATGCCGTTGGAGCAAATACACTCGTAAGACAGAGAATCCTATCCAAAAATAAAAAAGAAGTCTGTCAGCAAATTATTCTAGGAGGTGGCCCGAGGTGTCGGATTTTGACTTACAGAGTCGCAGTCGTTCTTTCTTGGATTGCTAGTGGCATTGATTTGAAGACAGAGGAGGGGACAGGACGAGGTCTGATCGAGACACCATTTGCCTGGCAGGGGCAAAGTAGTCAGACAGAGCTCGAGTGTAAGATCTAATGTATTTGAGACCTACTTCGTATTGCGGGGTCGATGGCACTGATGTTGACGGCAGTCCATGTTTGGCTGCTGACCAGTCCGACCATTGAGGCTGCGACAATGAGAGCACGAGAGAAGATCATATTGTCTATGATAGTGTGTCGACGATTGAACGAGGAAGACGTGACAATTGCAGGGTTTTTCAGCTTTGTAAGCTCTATTCGGTGCGAGTCTAAGGATAGTCTGAGAGTCAAGGTCTCAAAGGAGTATGAGAGAGAGCGAAGAAAGATTTCTGGAAGAACCCAAAGGTCAAGGACAATGCCCTCTGCCCTTATGACACAGTCGACTACTGATAAGGAAGCTCTGAATGGAAAGTGGAAGAAGAAGAAGGGTTCTCGGAATTGACCTGGGAACCACCGAACCAAGCGTACAAGTGGAGAAGCAAACAAGTCGACAGTGAGGAGAAGCTCCGGATGGACTACTGAATATGGTCGACGCAGGAGCTTTTAAACAAGCCAGTCCGTAGTCCATGGTACTACTGCAGCAGTAGACTGGTAAAGTACTAGCGCTACACAACATTTGAGACTAGAGAGTCTACTCTATCTGTCACAGGAAACTGGTGGCGAGCTATCCGAGTCAGTAGTACGGAGCAGTGTATGTAGTACGATACTCCGTATCTAGTCACCTGCCAAGTATGGTATCGGATCATCCAGCCTTCCTTGGTTTGCAGCAATCTTGGAAGAGAAAGTCGGGTGGTTAGCATGGGATTGTCTCGTTTGTAAGGTAGAAGATGACTCCAAAAGCAATCTAGAATATGGATCAGATCGGCTGGTGGCCGGAAATAAAGGGAGTCTGCTGTGTTAAGGGGCTACTGTTTTCTCTTGAAGAAAAAAAGAAAAAAATTTAAAAAATTTGTCGATCCGGGGGAATGCTCAATAATGCAAACAAGGGTCTGCATCCCGAGCCCAGAACCCCTATCGGTGCTGGGAATCCACATTCTTCCTATCGAACGTGTGATGTCCCAAGTTTACAAACTGCAAAATTCGTACTTCAATAATCCAAATCCTTATCAATGTGTCTTCTCCGCACCTGACGCTGGAGCCGAAACATGGTGCTGGGATGTTTTGGAAAAGAAGAGAGCCGATCAATATTATTGACGGGTAACTGCTTGGAGAGGTGTCCAGATGTCTCACCTGGAGACATTGACTTTTCCCAAAAGCAAGAAATCTGGTTGGACGGAACCACTCTTGGCTTCTTCTAGTGTTTACACTAGATGGGTGGTACTGGTCGCTAACAGAACGAGGATGAAGGTGATTTCGGAAGAACGGCTAATGCTGTCCGAGATCCTCAAAGGAAGATACTCTTTGAACAGATAGTCAGGCATAAGTTGGAACGGAGAAAAGAAGATGATTTCTTTATCAACAATAACTGAGGACAGCTGCGGCAGCATTCCGAGGGCGATGAAGAACCAAAAGTGAATGAAGTGACTAGTACGAATAAGGAAACCTGCTGACTCATGACTTTCTTCTCCAATTTTCGGTATTCTTGGAAGTCCCGTGATCTGGCCATTATTTGGCCTGAGGACACCAAGACAAGGAAACCGATCCGAGTATCAAGAAATGTAAGGCCATCGATGGTCAAAGGACACTGGTTATGTCTCAGACTCGTCATCGAGTTCTCAAGTAACATTGCATCTGATCTGACTTCTTTTCTATTTTTACTTTCCTCTCAACGCCTCTCAGACTCTCGCTGCATATCTACTACATCCACTTGAGCAGGACTCAGACCAACCACCCGGCAAGCTTCGCTAGTGAACCCCGTTAGTGTTCAATATCAGTGCCTCCCCGTACCCTTGCTTCCACCGTTTGCTCCCCTCATTTTAGGTTGCATTTCATTCCGTTTTACTTACTTGTTTTAGTTAAATATTACAGAGTACCAGAATTTGATTGTCACTCTCCCTGTCTGGTTATCGTCTGTGCCAGCACGTCCAACCCCCTCCTAGGTACCCAGTTAAATGGATGGAGCCAGCGAATGAGGAGACCGGTTCGGTGCCTCGGCCGCAGCCGTTATCCTCCCCTCCCCAGTTTTCCACCACCACATCCTCCCCCGCAGTCAATACAGATACAATTGTCTCTGCTGCACTATCCGACGGGGTTAGCGTGAGCAATGGCTCTGTCCTCCCGCAAGCCCGTCATGCCTCGTCCAGTGATCGTCCCGTCTCCGGTGTGATTCCGCCGTACTGGAGCCACCACCGGAATGCATCCCGCACATCTCAGATCTCTCTGGATCAGCCGGCCATCACATTAGAGGATCACTCTGAGGATCCCAACTCGGAAACCAGCCGGGGTCTCTGGGCCAAGAGTGTCACCGTCGATGACTATGCGGTTGTCAAAGGGAAGACCGGAGTAGGAGCGTATGTGGTTTGGAATTGCAGAATACAAACCCTTGATGTATGTTTTCTCCACGTTCGTGACCTACAATCGATATTGGCCTGATGCTAACATAGCCGTAGGGCGGTCCCATCACTGTCCGCATGAGGTACGTCCCGACCATATCATCCTATCGGAGTCGAATAGCTGGACGACAGTTCGTCTTGCTCACAACGCACAGATATTCCGAATTTGACGAGCTACGACAGCAATTGCAAGCCTCATTTCCACATGCGAAAAACGCTTTACCAGCACTGCCTCCTAAAAGTGTGCTCTGTATGTTTCTCTCTCTGGGCAGAGCCGACCCTCCGTTAACGATTATCCCCAGATAAGTTTCGCCCTGCATTTCTTGAATCCCGACGAGTCGGCCTGGAATATTTCTTGAAGTAAGTTTGCCATCCGGTCAAGAACGAGTTCCCATCTGGAGCCAACCTTGGATATCTAGCTGCGTCCTACTCAATCCCGAATTCTCGGGCTCGCCCATCGTCAAGGAGTTTCTCTTTGGTCGGATGTGCTAGTACCATTTTCACTCGATCGATTGTCTTATCTCGAAATCATGGCGACCAATTAGTCAACTCACTATTGCATTGGTCTCGAGGCATTTAGGGTAAAAGTCCGGGTTGAAATACATGAGCAATGACCACATGAAGATACGGCATCATTCTAAAACAACACTGGGATCGGCTACCGATACACAGTTAGCATGATATTAAATGAAAAAAGCCTACATTATCACTATCTGCCGCAGGTCAAGATCCTACATCCTACTCCTTTCCCTCGTGAGTAGTAACCAACATAGCACGAGCGGCATTCTGCTCCTCCTCGCGAGCCTTCTGCATATTCTTCGAGTACTTCTTCCCCGCAACAAACCACCAAAGCAGCTCGATAAGCAGGAATCCACCAACACAAGCACAGGTGTAATTCATATTCGACGCTGTCCAGCTTGTCAGCGTCCCTGGCGCCACCGTCTTATTCTCCACAAGATCAAACTCACCAGTGACAGGCATATAATACGGGAACGAGAAAAACACAATGGCAAACACCAGCCATGCAACCGTAATAATATTCACGGCCATACCGGTCACATGACTCATGTAAAACGGCCCGCGGTGCATCGTCCGGCGCCCCACAAGGACGTTGGTGAGGATGGGGACGAGGTAGGCCAGATTGTTAATTGTCCTGCATGTCACGAATCAGCACGTCGAGTCTGCACGGTTGTACCTCACACAAGGAAAAAGGGTTCTGCACTGACACTGCCGAGCTCATCAAGGCATTGAAGGCGGTGCTGGAACCGAGATAGATACAGCCCAGCAGGGCAGTGATGACGCCCACGCATAGCTGGGCGTTGAACGGGGTCTCGAAGCGGGGGCTGACTTTTGCCCAGCTAGAATTACCTGTTAGGTGGTTTTCGTAGTATGAATGACTAGATTTGGGAAGCTGCTTACATCCTCGAGAGCGGGAGGCCGCCGTCTCGAGCGAAAGCCCAGAAGACTCGGCCGGTACCTAGATCGAGCGTGAGATGTTGGGTTCTTGACTGCAGAGAAAGGTGGGCGGGCATACTTAGCTGAGAGCCGATCATGCATGGGCCCAGGGCCACCCACAGCATAAAGGTCAAGGCAAAGGCACCGCCGCGGGTCTGCGTCGCTTGGCGGAAGATCTCTGCCAGCGGGAGGCCTGTCTGGGTTGATGCGAGGCTGGAGTAGTCCTGGACGGAGTACATGAGACTGAGCAGGTAAGTAAGTCCGGTCACGAAGGCGATGCCGAGCGTGCAGGCTGTTCGACTCATTAGTTGCGTTGTGAGGGGGTTTGCAAGGAGAGACAAGAGCTCACCGAGGGCTAAAGGAGCGTTTCGTCCAGGCTGTTGGCCGAGTCAAGTCAGTGGCTGGATGCGAACTAGAGCGATGCTACTTACGTTTGGCATTTCCTCTGTGATGTGCTGCAAATTTGGTCAGAAGAGCCTAGACATATTCAGAAAAAGGAAACAGACCGTTATGCCATCCAGACCACCAAGAGAGTATAGTGGGTTCACCAGCCCTGTGATGAAGCAAATTACATTGTTCTCCCAGCCGGTGTTGTTAATCCACGTTTTGAAAACGAATGTGCTGTCGTTGTGCTTGGGAGCTGCGGCAGCAACGGTGACCATGATGACGAACCAGGCCAGTTGGAGATAGCATACTTGCTTCACTGTCAGCGTGGCAGGTGTATGGAACGAGGCAAATATCAACTCACGGGAAAACTTGTTGATAAGTGGAATATAACGATTCCCAAACATGACTATCCCGCCGGTCAAAATGTTGAAGCCCTGGTACGCAACGAAGGTCATCCATGGCTGAATCACGAGATCCGTCTGGTACAGCGCAATCAAGGCCATGAAGTTGGTCGCGTAGATCAAATTGGTAGATGCGGTTGTGAATATCCCTGTCCCCGTCAGACTTCTTTCCCGATCAATGATCGCGCCCAAGCTCACATCCGAAGACCGTGCTCCAACCCGTCGCGAAGCTGAGAATGCTGTTGTATCGTTTCGGGGCGATGGCAGCAATCCAATGGTACATCCCACCTTCGACCGGGTACGCAGACACAAATTCAGCCAAGGAGGCACCCAAAAAGCATTGGAGGATAAAGACGAGGATAAACCCGTAGATTACTGGAGTCGTCAACCATGATGTTGCGTAGAATTATCGGGGAGTGCCTTACAAGCTCCAGGTCCACCGGCATTGATGGAGGTGATCAAACCGAGTCCCAAACCTGCAATGGAGATGTCAACCCAACAAACAAAAGACAGCTCTAATGTTGATCAGGGGAAACTCACCAGTCCAGGAGATGGTGCAATTCGCAGCCAGACCGATCAGACTCCACACCGAAAAATGCCTTTTGAGCTCTTGTTTATGGCCTAGGCATGGTTAGCGACAGCACTTTGACGAATGCATTTAATAACATACCCATCTGCGCCAAACGCAGTTCATCTTCATTTTGAACCCGGATGATACTAGAGGCATGGTCATCGACAGCGTCGGCCACAGGAGATGCCATTTTCGAGTCACCCATTGTGGTGGATGTGCTTGAGGGAACTCAACAGACACAATCAAAAAAAAAAAAAAAGAAAGTGCCTGGTTCAAATAGAGATGATAAACTAAGGTCTAGATACATCCTGCTGCGACCTTTGTCGCCTCGTGTGACCATCTCCTTATCGAGAACATATGGTGCTTATCGGAGACGGCGTCGCATTAGTATCGGACATCCTCCAGGATCGCCGGTGTGCCGACAATATGTCCGGGGAACCGTTGTTAAAAGAGCAAATGAGAAACTGAATATTATGGGCTAGTGGAATAGCTCCAGACCAAGTAGAGTATGGCCGTTGTCGATCAACTGACTCTCTCCTGAAAGTTGCATTGTGGATCCGAGGAAGAGTATCTTTGACACGACTACTCTGGACTCCGTAGACTGTCAGAAGAGGTGTCTTTGCGGGGTCAGAATGCACTGATGCAACCGTAGCAAAGACAGTGCAATAACGTCGTGCCCAAATCAATCTCGAATCGAAGGAGCAATATACTTCGTGTTGTCTCAGGGGCCTCGTAGTATCATTCCAGGCTCTTGTTATACCCCCCACGCCGCTTATCGGGCTGTTCATCAACTCACCTTTCATATGGATATATACTTTAAGTTTTCTACTTTTGTTCTATGTCAGATTTTGTTATCGGATGACCTTGATGGCAATGGACCCAGAAAAGGTTCTGATTTTCCAAAGTCTCCTTGAATATCCCGCGGAGCATTGGCCCGACCACTTCCGGAAGATGTCTTCGTCATCAGACTCAGGACTGGACGACCTGTTAAGTCGATTGTATGTTTATACCCTTACCATTGTGAACAATCCCTTCGCAGCCTTTGCCTTGCTCGTCGGACTAGGAACTCGGCTCACCGTCCTGGCCACCACAGGCTTTCGAGGCACGACATCATTGTCCCTGATCACGGCTTCCCGTTTGACAGGATCACCATCCGCACCGGTCTTTTGCACCTCTGATATCTTCCACGCTCGCACAAGCCAGAGGAAAATAGCTGCTCCCATAAACATAAAGCCAGTAAATATCTGGGCATGCAGAAAATTGGTTCCGAAAGCCCAGCCAGTACCCCATCTCTGAATCATGGCACCTGTAGCCAACGAATAAATCAGGCTTTCGAGTCCTGATCCCGCTGTCCCAATACCGTTTGCAAGGGAGCGTCGGCGGCTGAACCACTGAGGGATGATACCAACGGTAGCACTGAATTGCATTCCCATCCCGAATCCAAAACACACGGCCTGACTTAAAAACAATTGCCAAATCTCGGTCGACCATGATGCTCCTAACGATGCTGCGCTCTGGAGCATCATACGACTAATTGCAACGGAAATTAGCAAATCAAGCTTTGTCTGAAGGCCCACAGACCCCTACACTATTGATTCCCAATGTATGGGCATTGAAAAAAGACGCACATCACACAGACCCAGCCATAACCACCGTCTGGAGGAGGCTCCACCTCTATGCGTGCCGGTGGTTAGGCTTGCTCGGGGTCAGTGTTGACCGGTTCATCGTCGGCAGGGTCATTCTCGGACAGTGCCTTCTCTGAAAATTCAGGAAAAGGGTGAATGGAGTCGTGGCCAGTTGGAGACACTGTTATCGCCTGACTCGAGTAAACATTCTTCTCCCATCTTCTCCAACTGCATTCCTTGAGTGGAGGGAAACAGGACAGAGGTAAACTGGTGGTTTAAGTAGTCGGCGATAGAAAACCAATGGAGACTGTGCGTAAGACCTTGGATAAACACGTCGTCGGCTGAGTCATACGTAGAACTAAATGTATTATAAATTTCCCTTTCTTCAATCTTATGGCAGAGCTTACTCCGGAGCCTGTTGATTCAAGCAGGTGGGATCTAGCTCAAATCTAGGTGTGTTATCCATAAAATCTTATGTGCAACATAGAGCTGCATATTAGTAATTATGCTCATTTTATGCTTCCCAAGGATCAGCCAATCAGCGCCCATTCCATCCGTGGCTGATTCAGGTTGTGATGACAGCCCTGGCGGCATTACGTCAGGAGTGCTACTCGTCCAAGTACACTGACCAGGTTGCTCTTCCTGGAAACTCCAATCTGGCAATGCTGTACTCTGTATACTCATGCTCTCAGTAGACCACTACAATATCACGACCTTCACCAGAGACACTAAAGAAAACCATATGCCCTATCAACCGACTGTCGGCTTCGAGCATCATCGAGCCATCCCAGATGTATCAGGTACCTCTCTCAGTGTACGGACACACCAGTACCAGTACCATCGCACTTTTATTAGCACCTACACAACTACCGCACCCTATCCATGGAACAGAACCTATTATTATTATTACCTATCTCCCAGTCCACTGACAGGAGAGTGGAGATACACGCGGGCTGGCAATCTCCACCGCACGTCATCGGAACCAGCCCAATCGACCTGTCATGCCGCGGTGGCACTCTAATGTCAACGGCCAAAGCTGGGATCGATCCAATCACATACCCCCATCTGGGAAAAGGTGATATCAACGGGCTGGATGGGGGCGCGCAGACGATCGATATAAATTCTCCGATTGGAAATCTGGGACCAGGACTAACGTAAGACTTTGTTGATGATCTCATCTGGGCGCTGTTAGCGAGTAAATTAGACTCGGAAGCAGGATTGTTGTCTTGTATACAGATAGATGTACAGGGTAGTAGAAGAGAGAGAAAGATATCTGTCTTTAAATGCAGTTGTCTGCCGTACAGCAGGAGTCTGTCTGTACTGTGATGTAATCTCACTATGGTGGATGTCTGTCTACCCCATCTACTATAATGCATAGATAGAATAATATAACAACTTCAAACACACAAAATATAATAAACAATTGCACCCCTGCACCCTGACGCAACTATGACTGCTCATCCATCTGTCAAAAAATAAAAAGGAGGAAAAGAAAACACAGAATCAAGTATCAACACTCGTCCTGCACCGTGGTATGTACCTGCCGTGGAGACCTCTGGCGGGTCCTTTTCGGCCGGATATACAGTCATATGTAATCTATTTTAACCTGTTGCCTTGATCTTCTCCCTCCTGATTCGATATCCAGTCTGTGCATCCACGGATCGACCCTTGGGCTCAAGCCACCGTCTGGTCCCCATCGACTGTGGCTGGCTTTTGCGTTACCCTCATTACATATGTCCCCCGGGGTATGTCTTCCTTGATAGGAAGGAAGCAAATGGCGAGACAAGAGACCAATGGACGCAACAACTTGCTACTGGTAGGTTGGCCAGGCTTGGTGCATGATGATGATGTCGATAGTCCATGACGTAGGATGGTAATAGAAGCAAGTGATTGTTGCTTGTGTGCATTTAAATGAGTTAAGGTGCATGTAGTGCCGAGTTGGATAGATATTCACACAGACTGACTTATACTCTACTCTTATCAACGCCGTATAATCAAATCATACTTTGATCTGCGCAAAAGCTCATCTGATATTCACGAGATAATCAATTGCACTGTACTTTTACTGCTATCACAGTTTACAATTTACGTTCCGGTTGACGACACGACTTATTGACTTACGAATTGCACGCAACAAAGCCATACTTCGACCTGACCTGATCTTCTTTCAGCATTGGTCCCCAATTGACTTCGTTGAGACATAGCTTCAACTACCCCTTTTATACCTCGGAATCTTCAGAGCATATCGATTCTCATCCAGACGCTATCGAAATGTCCTCCCCAAGCGTTCGTGACCCCGTCCAGAGAAACCCTGCTACCTCCCACAAGTCTCGCAAGGGTTCGGGTTCCAGCGCTGCTTCCTCAAGACCGGAGATTACCACCCCCAAGAACAAGAAAACGCCCCGCAAGCTGCAGACCAGAACCCCCAAACAGGCCGAGGAAGACGCTGACGAGGAGAAACCTACAACCCCATCTCCCCAGCCGAAGAAGAAGTCCCAGCCTGAGCCCGAGCCCGAGGAAACCCCCGCTCCCGAGGACAAGCAGGACGAGCCGGAGGAGCAAGAGGAGGAAGAGGACGCACCACCAGTTTCTTCATCCAAGCCGACGAAGAAGTCCAAGCCCGAGGCTGAGCAGCGGGGCATTTCGTCCCCTGTCCCGGATGATGTCCAGTCGCAGGCATCCGGCTCTGCAAGCCGAAGTGGCAAGGCCTCGGACTTGGCAGGCACAGCCAAGGGTCTTGGTGATAAGGTGAAGGATACCGCACAGGACGGCGGAGAGGAAGTCCAGAAGAACGTTCCCTCTACCCCTCTTGACCTGTCCGCCTTGAAGGGCCTTGAGGTGGGTGAAGGTGGCCAGGTTCTCGGCGGGGATGGTAACCCCCTGGGCCAGGTCGTGGAAGGCGAGCCTGAGGATCTTGTTGGCCAGGAAGTGGGTGACGACGGAGAGATCCTTGATGAAGACGGTGATCTCATTGGACGTGTGGAACTCCTGCCCGATGCAGCGCAGAATGTCACGGACAAGGCAAAGGAAGACCTTCCTTCCGATGAAGCGCAGAATGTCACCGACAAGGCGGACGAGAATCTTCCTTCTACCGACCTCGACCTATCCGCCCTAAAGGGCCTCAAGGTCAGTGAAGATGGCCAGGTCCTCGGCAAGGATGGCAACCCCTTGGGACGAGTCGTGGAAGGCGAGCCTGAGGATCTCGTTGGCCAGGAAGTGGGCGATGAGGGAGAGATCCTTGATGAAGACGGTGATCTCATCGGTCGCGTGGAGCTTCTGCCTGACGCTGCGCAGAATCTCACCGGCAAGGCGAAGGATGTTCCAGAACAGGCTGAGGATGTTGCCTCGCAAGCGAAGGACACCGCAGACGAGACTGCTGATCAGGCCAAGGACAAGGCCGAAGAGACGACCGAACAGGCCAAGAATGCCGTGACTGATCTCGCCGACCTCGATGGTCTTCCCGTCTCGGAAGAAGGACTGATCAAGAACAAGGACGGCCAGGCCATCGGCAAAGTCGCCGAGGGAGATCCCGAGGATCTTGTTGGCTACACCGTGAACGACAAAGGAGAGATCGTCGACGAAGACGGCGACCTCATTGGCCGAGTGGAACTCTTGCCACAAGCCCAGGATGTTACTGATAAGGCTGGGGAGATCCCAGAGCAGGCCGACGACGCTGCGGAACAGGCCAAGAAAACTGTGACCGACCTCGCCGACCTCGACGGCCTTCCTGTGTCTGAAGGGGGCGTCATCAAAGACAAGTCCGGCCAAGTCGTCGCAAAGATCGCCGAGGGCGACCCGCAGGACCTTGTCGGCTACACTCTGAACAAGGAAGGCGAGGTCCTGGATGAGGAGGGTGATCCGATTGGCCGCGCTGAGATCGTCTCCCAACAAGGCGAGGACACCTCAGACAAGGTCGACGACACTGAGAAGTTGGCTCCTGAAGACCAGAGTACCCAAGAGGATATCGCGAAGCAAGCAGTTGAAAGCGTCCAGCAGCAAGACTTCGACGACACGACGGAGAAGGACCAGTCCGCAGTCGACGATGCTAAGGAAGAAGCCGAGGAACAGCTGCCACCACTCTCCTCACTTGAAGGTATGAAGTGCACCAAATCAGGCAAGATCGTCGACCCGAACACTGGCAAGCCTGTCGGTGAGCTCATCGAAGGAGATCCAAAGAAGATCTCTCGCATGGGAGCTCAATTGGACGATAAGGGCCAGTTCTGGGACAATCGTGGCAACGTTATCGGCAAGGCCAAGACCCTTCCTGTTGAGGATTACGAGGGCGAGCCGCCCTTCGCTGGCCTGGAAGGACTCCACGTCGTTGAGGATGGATGGGTTGAAGACGAGAATGGCAAGCGAGTCGGCAAGGTCGTTAAAGGAGACCCGAGGAAGCTCCTTGGACGTGCGGTCGACGAAGACGGAGATATCACCGACAAGAACGGCAATGTCATCGCACAGGCCGAATACTACGAAGCCCCCGACGAGCCGGAGCCTGAGAAACCTGATCTCTCTCAGCTGAACGGTTTGAAGCCTAACAAGCTGGGATTTGTTATTGGTCCAAACGGTGTGCCCATTGCCCGTGTGGTAGAGGGAAATCCCAAAGAGCTGGCCGGTAAAGAGATTGATGATGGCCAGATCTGGGACGGCCGCAAGCCCATTGGACGCGTGGAGCTCATCCCCGAAGAGGAGCGTGAAAAGAAGCCCGAAGGCGTGTTTGCCGGTCTTGACAACCTTGTCGTCAATAAGGAAGGCTTCGTCGAGGATGACGAAGGCAACATCGTCGGCAAAGTGACCGAGGGCGATCCCAA